TAAACCCCCCAAAGTCACTTCTTCCACCCTCAGAAAAGAGCCATTACTACCCAGGGCACACCCTGTTTAAACCAACTGAATTCAACACCCGAAATAAAAGACACTAACACCTACCATTCACCACCTCTCAGTCCAACAATCCTAAACCCAACTAAGAATTATAGATTTTGATCCCGAATGAGCCCCCAATTTGTTATGGACCAGACCAGACCAGACCCCACAAAATGTTTTAAGAAGGTAGCCTAGACCCTAACTTTTTCTTATTTTAAAGGTAGATGTGAAGTGTTGTATTCCAGATGCAATGCGACTGGTCAAACTACTCAACATTTATCACAATTTATAGAGACATAGAGTAATACAGCATGGAAACAGGCCTTTCAGTCCAAACTGGTCCATGCTGACCATGGTGCCCACTTGGCTAGTTCTCATTGCCTGCAGTTGGTCCCTCTAGACACTTCCCAACCATGCACCTATCCAAATGTTTTTTAAATGTTGCTATTGTGCCTGCCTCAACCACTTTCTCTGGCAGCCCATTCCATATATGCATGACTCACTACACGAAGAAGTGTCCCCTCAGGTCCTTCTTAAATCTTTTCACTCTTGCCTTAAACCTATGCCCTCTAGTTTTCAATTCTCCATCCCTGGGAAAAAGACTATATGCATTCAACCTATCTGTGCTCTTCATGATTTTATATACTTCAATAAGGTCACCCCTAATTCTTCTACGTTCCAAGGAATAGAGTTCAATCCTGGCCAAGCTCTCCCTATAATTCAGGCCTACTAGTCCTGGCATCACCCTCATAAATCTTCTTTGCACACTTTCTAGTTTAACTATGTCTTTCCTGTAACAGTGACCAAAACTGTACACAATACTCCAAATGCAGCCTCACAAACAACTTACACAACTGTAACATAACATCTCAACTCCTATACTCAATGCCTTGACCGATGATGGCCAGCATGCTAAATGCCTTCTTCACCACCCTCTCCACCTGTGACACCGCTTTCAATGAACTATGTACTTGTAGTCCTAGGTCCCTCTGTTCCACAACACCCCTCAGGACCTTACCAATTACTGTGTAAGTCCTATCTTGGTTTGATTTTCCAAAGTGCAACACCTCACAATTATCTGTATTGAATTGCATTTGCCAATCCTCAGCCCACTTACCCATCTGATCAAGATCCCGCTGTAATTTTTGATAACCTTCCTCACTATCAACGATACCTCCTAATTTTGTATCATCTGCAAACTTACTAATCCTGCCTTGTACATTCACATCCAGATCATTTATCTAAATAACAAATAACAAAGGTCCCAGCACCGACCTCTGTGGTACACCACTAGTCACAGCCCTCCAGTCCGAGAAACAACCTTCAACCATCACCTCCACTTCCTACCTTCGAGCCAATTTTAAATCCAATTAGCAAGCTTTCCCTGGATTCCTGCAACCTAACCTTCGTGACTAGTCTGCCATGTGGGACCTTGTCAAATGGCTTACTAAAAGTCCATATAGACAACATCCACTGCCCTACCCTCATCTATCCTCTTGGTTACCTCTTCTAAAAACTCTAGAAGATTTCACAGACATGACTTCCCGTGTACATATCCATGCTGACTATCCCTAATCAGACCTTGACTATCCAAATGATGGTTGATTCTGTCCCTCAGTATCCTCTCGCATAACTTGCCTACCAATGGCTCACTGGCCTGTAGTTCCCTGGCTTTTGTCTTTGCTACTTTTCTTAAACAATGGAACAACGTTAGCCACCCTCCAGTCTTCTGGAAGTTTACCAGTGGCTAAAGATGAAGCAAACGTTTCTGTAAGGGCATCTTCAATTTCTTCCCTAGCCTCCCATAACATCCAAGGATGGACTTGATCAGTCCTGGGAGATTTATCCACTTTAATGTGACCTAAGACTGCAAATATCTCCTCTCTGGTAATATGTATGTGGTCCAAAACATCCCCACTGTTTCCCTTATTTCCTTAGCATCTATGATTCTCTCCTTAGAATACACAGGAGAAATATTAATGAAAAATCTTCCCCATCTCCTGTGGCTCCACACATAGACGGCCATGCTGCATGCTGATCTTTAAGGGGACCTATTCTCTCCCTAGCCACCCTTTTACTCTTAATATAGCTATAGAATCTCTTGGGATTATCTTTAACCTTATCTGCCAGATCCATCTCAAACCCTCCTTTTGCTCTTCTGATTTCCCTCTTAAGTGTGCTCCTACACCTTATATAGTCATCTAGGGATTCACTTGAGCCCAATAGCTTAAACCCAATGTATGCCTTCTTCTTTTTCCTGACAAGAGCCTCAATATCCCTCGTCAACCAGGAATCCCTAAACCTCTAGCTTTTTCCTTCATTCTAACAGGGATATACTGTCCCTGGACTCTTGATATCACACTTTTAAAAGCCTCCCATTTAACAGTCATTCCTTTTCGTTCAAACATACTCAGCCAATCAACCGCTGCTAGATCCTGCCTAATGGCCCTAAAATTGGCCCTGCTCCAGTTTAGCACCTTAACCTGTGGACCTGTCCTATCTTTTTCCATAACTATGTCAAAACTAAGAGAGTTATGGTCACTGGACCCAAAGTGCTCTCCGATTGACACTTCAGTCACTTGCCTGACCTCGTTTCCTAATCCAGTGTTGCACCCTTCCAAGTAGGGCCCTCTACGTATTGACTTCGGAAACTTTCTTGGACACATTTGACAAATTCCACCCTGTCCGGGCCTTTTACACTCTGAGTGACCCAGTCAACACAGGGGAAATTAAAATCTCCAACCAATACTACTCTGTTATTCCTACAGGTATCTGCAATCTCTCTACACCTCTGCTTCTCTAGTACCCATTGGCTATTTGGGGTTCTATAATGCAATCCTAACAGAGTGACCATCCCCTTCTCGTTTCTAAGTTCTAAACGTATGGCCTCATTAGATGACCCCTTGAGAATATCCTCTCTCAGCACTGTTGTTATGTCCTCCCTTATCAAAAGGGTAATTCCCCCTTCTTGCTTTCTTGTACTTCTGTCACACCTGTAGCTTCTGTATCCTGGAACATTGAGCTGCCAGTCCTGCCCTATTCTCAGCCATGTTTCTGTTATGGCTATACTATCCCAGTCCCTAGAGTCAATCTATGCTCTGAACTCATCTGTCTTACCAGTCAGGCCTCATGCGTTGAAATAAATACACTTTAAACTAGAAGTCTTTTCCTTCCCTTTACTGTGCCCCTGGCGATCCTGAATATTAGCTCTCAATAGCTAATGCATTTTCCTTGATTTCTCAATGGCCCCTCTTTTATTCAGAGTCCCACTCCCCTGCCAAACTAATTGAAACCCTCCCGGGTAACACTAGCAAATCTCCCTGCAAGGATATTGGACCCCCTCTGATTCAAGTGTAACCTATCCCTCTTGTGCAGGTCACCTCTACTCCAGATGAGATCCCAATGATCCAAGAACTGAAAACCCGACCCCCTACACCAGCTCCTCAGCCATGCATTCATCTGCCCTATCTTTCTATTTCTATCCTCCTGAGTTAAAAATGTTTAGGAAAATTACATAGAACACACAGCACTGAAAAAGCCACCCAACTCAATTAGTCTATGCCAATGTTAGTGCTGTAAATGAGCCTCCTCTTACTCATTTTCATCCAATCTTATCAGAATAACTTCTACTCCCCTTTCCTTTGTGCTTATCTAGTGTCCTTTAAATGCATTTGTTATTTACCTCAGCCACTCTATATGATAATTAAGCAAGTTTTGATCCTAACTCTAGATAAAGACATTCCTCCAGAATTATATATTGGATTTTTTAGTGACTCTTTTATTAATGCAACATAGTTTTTATCTCCACAAATGGAAACGTTTTTATACAAGATGATAGTCTGCCCAACTCATTCATAATGTTAAGCATCTCTTTCAGATCATCCTTCACCTTCTGTTTGCTCGGTAACATCATAAGATGTAGGAGCAGAACTGGGCCATTCATCCCATCAAGTCTGTTCTGCCATTCAATGAGATCACAGCTGGTCTGATAATCCTCAGTTCCAAATTACTACCTTATTCCCACAACTGTTGATACCCTTATGATCAGAAATGTATCAATCTTGACCTTGAAAATACTAAACCGCCTAGCCTGAACAGCCCTCTATGGTTAAACATTCCACAGATTTGCTATTGTCAGAGAAACGTCCTCATCTGTGTTTTAAATGGGTGATCCATTACTCTGATATTATCATACTCAAGAAGATCCATAAGAGGAGGCATCATCCGCAACTGTTCAATCTTTTCTGGTAAGTATAATCTCTCAGATCATACCCCTGGACCAAGAGACAGAAGCAAGTCTCAACTGTTCAAGAGATGTGTAATATCATCTCTGTACAAGGTGATTGGAAAATTAGGTTAATAAAAAAAAAACTCAGTTCAGGTGTCATCCTGTAAACATTTCTTGCACCTTCTCCAGTACCTCAGACAAGAAATGTTTACATGCAGATACTCCAAGTGTGTTCCAATTAAATCACAATTTGTTGTTTTTGTATATATGTTTGTAGGCCATGGTAATAAGCTTTCAAACGTCAAAGCGTAGGCCTCTGAGCTTTTTCTGATTAAGAGTATGCGTAGTCACTGATAGGTCATTTTTCATACAGAAGGCCCAGGAACAGCATAAAATATTTCAAAACTACTGGAGGCAATTCAGCACAAGAAATGCCTCTTCCTCCTTCTACAGCAGGCCATTTTGCTTACTGCAGTTCCTTCTGACCTCAGGTATTGTAACATGCTGATAGAATTAAGGAAAAAGGTGTGCACCCCAACGACTGGCCATAGTCAGGTAGGCAATTACATAGCAGACAGAGGATCCACTAGAGGCCCAAACTAGTGAGCTTCGTGAGAGATATTGCAGCCAACAGCAATCTTCAAAATACATGTGGCATTTTTTTAAGCCAATGTAAAAATGTAATTCCAAAGTCTCCTAACTTATTGCAGTTCACACCTACCTTCCATTTAGATGCTTGGGTAAGCCCATACAATTTGACACAATACGTTCAGTCAGTACAGCAGCATGTTCAATGGGTTCAGTCAGTGGGGTCATGTCAAGTTGGCTAAGAAAATTTTGCTACAAATTTTAGAAAAAAAGATGTAAACATTGTTCTCTTACCATTAAAGAATAATTAATTTTTAACATATTTTATACTGTAATACTGAACTTAGTTCAATAGGATCATAATTGATAAATTTGATGTTTTTTAAATTGAGTTGTGGCCATTGGCTTGTAGCTATTGACAATCTTTAATTGTCATGAGGAGTCATGGGGGGATGGTGGAAAATAGATACGCCCATAGTTCTATTAGGACGACAGTTCCAAATCATTAACCAAGCAGTTAAATTTGGTTCAGCCTAGCAACTCCTGCAGTCACATCCTAGAACTCAAATGATTGACCTCCATCAACCACAACCACCTTCTTTTGTGCTAGTTATGACTCCAAAATGTGAAGAGTTTTCCCCCTCATACCCATTTACTACAGTTTTCCCTGGAACAGAGAAATAAAATGACCATAAAAGTTGCTGGAAAAGTGCAAAACCTCAAACAGCTCATAAGTATCTTTCATGGATGAGATCACGATGCTGCTCGGCCTGCTGTGTTCATCCAGCTCTGCGCCTTGTTGTCTCGGATTCTCCAGCATCTGCAGTTGCTGCTATCCCTGTGATTCTCGTCCAGTTCTGTCTACATGTGACTATAGTGCTATATGGCTAATTCTCAATATTCTTTGAAGTGACTTAATACACCTCTCATTTGAATTCAAAGTGATTATAATACTTTCTTAGAACAGCTAAGAACAGTTAGTTGCATTGCACATGAAGGCAAAACAAATTGTTTAGTGAAGCTCCAGAAGGAGAGAAGGATGAGCAGCGATGTTTCAAAAGTAAACATTCTGGATGCTGTAAATCTGATTTAGAAACAGAAACTGGGCAAGTCTGGTAGCATTCCAGGAAAGAGAAAAGTTAACATTTCCAGTGCAATATCACTTTATCACAGTCAGGTATCATATTTTAGTTACCCCAATCCAATTTTGAGAATTTTCGAATTGAATGGTGCTCTGCTTTAATAATACACAACTCCACTTCTGATTCTTTTACAAAATAGTACAGAGCCATTCTGGCTATTATTTGGTGTCTAATGCTGTTTCTTTTCTCCCCCAGGGGTATAGATTGGCACAATTCCTCCTCATCTCTAGTGAGAGCAGTTGTTTTCATAAAACAAGAGGATGATTTCTAGCTGCCAACAATGAAAATGCATGACACAATAACATTAAATGTTGGATAACACAAACAAAAATACATATATAACAGTTTTAGAAACTGTAAATGCTCTTGATTATCATAGGATGAGTCCCAACCTGTAGATAGTTCTGTGGTTAGGATTTCTTGCAAAGAATACCTTTGAGCACACATCCACAAATTTGACAGCAGATACCCATTGAATCTATCCATTCAAGAACATCAGTTATCCATAACATTATATTCCAGAGATTTTGAATCCATTATTGAAGAAAGCTACAGGAATAATGAAACAAAATGATAATATAGGTGCATTTTATTCCAAACGGGTAAATATAATGCAGAACTCAGCAGGAACGATGTGCACCGACTTCACATACAGCACACAGATAGCCTAATGACTGGACAGGAAAATTTAGAATTCAATTGAAATGTAAAGAATTGTGGATATTTTAAGGGTGAGGATAAAATATTTGCAAAGAAGAAAGCAGCACCAACTTACTAGCAAAAGGAAAGCCTAAGTTGAGTTTGTAAGCACATGATAGAACAGCTCCGCATCATTTTTTTTCAATTCTGTAGTGTCACAACTCACCAGAGTACTGTGCTAGAAATCAAGCCCCACAATTTCCAGATTCATTATAAAAATGAAAGATTTTAAAATAAATATACAACATTTTCCAATTTACCCTGATTTTCAGACTCAGATTGAAAGAAAGCAAACAGCAGGTTTCTGTACTTAGTAAGAAGTACATATTAAACTCTAAACCTTCTCTCTCTCTCTCTCTCTCTCTCTCTCACACACACACACACACACACACACACACACACAAATATAGACTGGGAAAAAAGAACAGATGGACATGGGAAGAACCTGGAAAGACAGTTTAGTAGTCTTTGTCCATAAACTCTATTGAATTGGTTCTTGTGAATCCAAAAAATCCCTTCCTGCCTTCCCTTTTCCAAATGCTTCCACTTGTTTACAAGAGGCGCAGCATGGCTGGTTCAGCTGTAAAATGTCTCTGATTATAAGTCAAAGATTATAACAATTGCCGAAGGAATGAGTAACTTCTTTTCCTCAGGTTTATGGTGAGTTTTGTCTTCACAGAATGGAGAGAAAGTTTATGACCTGATGGAGATCAAATCTCTTCTCAATAACTAGTTCCCAACCCCAAGCTGTTCAGTTACCCTGAATAAGCCATGTCATCAGTAACTGGTCATGAGTCCTTAGGACAATCAACCTTTTGTTGCCAACCAACTGTATATGTACACAGAACCTCTCAGCCCCAATTTGTGTTCAATTACTGTTTGTTCAAACAGCTGTACAACATAATACTTGCCACGGGTATCAGGTTACTTGCTTTCCAACCATGCAGCCATCATTACAAAATACTGTTTTTAAAATAGTTTTTCTCATTTTAGTCCACAGCTTCTAAAAAACACTAAATAAAAAATACTGGTGTGATCCTATGAGGTGGCACCAAGGGGGTTTTGTTCATGTACAGCTGCTATGCAGACTTGTGTTGATGCTATAGGAATAAGCAGAGTTGTGTGATGTTATCTCCATGGCTTGTTGCATTGATAACTTTTGAAGAATGTCAGATAATTGGCAGCCCGCAGTACTGTCTGCCGCAGGAAATTAGCCCTTAGTGTGAACATTATCCAAATAAAGCTATTCATCATAACTTTTAATCAACTTTGAACATTTCCTACAGGGCAGTTTAATTGTGTTGAAGCAGACTGTTACTGTCACTGGCCGTTGCATCCCTATGCTGCATTTGAATCAGTATAATGGTTTTTAATTGGCATAGTTTTGAGATGTTTCAGATCAATGAGAGGCAATCACTTTGATCAGATCTACAGGGTGAGAAAACAAGTGACTGAGATAGTAGGAACTGCAGATGCTGGAGAATCTGAGATAACAAGGTGTAGAGCTGGATGAACACAGCAGACCAAGCAGCATCATAGGAGCAGGAAGGCTGACGTTTCGGGCCTAGACCCTTCATCAGAAATGGGGGAGGGGAAGGGGATTCTGAAATAAATAGGGAGAGAGGGGGAGACGGATAGAAGATGGATAGAGGAGAAGATAGGTGGAGAGGAAACAGACAGGTTAAAGAGGCGGGGATGGAGCCAGTAAAGGTGAGCCTAATGGTATCAATGTGGATTTCACAAGCTTCAAAATCTCCCCTCCCACTACCACATCCCAAAACCAGTCCAGCTCGTCCCCGCCTCCCTAACCTATTCTTCCTCCCACCTATCCCCCCCTCCCACCTCAAGCCGCACCCCCATTTCCTACCTACTAACCTCATCCCGCCCCCTTGACCTGTCCATCCTCCCTGGACTGACCTATCTCCTCCCTACCTCCCACCTACACTCACCTTTACTGGCTCCATCCCCGCCTCTTTGACCTGTCTGTTTCCTCTCCACCTATCTTCTCCTCTATCCATCTTCTATCCATCTCCCTCTCTCTCCCTATTTATTTCAGAACCCCCTTCCCCTCCCCCATTTCTGATGAAGGGTCTAGGCCCGAAACGTCAGCCTTCCTGCTCCTATGATGCTGCTTGGCCTGCTGTGTTCATCCAGCTCTACACCTTGTTATCTCTAAACAAGTGACTGAGTTGACCTGGAGTTAACACTGAAGTGTACCTAGCTTGTAACTACTTTTCATTTGATTTCTGAGCTCTGAGAGTCCATCTACTATGGTTGAACAGTTGAGACCAGTATTGTATGTGAAACAAATAAAATGGGATTGCTAGCAACTAGGTCAAACAAAAGCACAAGACACTTTTGAGGTAATGATTGTCATCATTCAGAAAATGAAGTGCAACATTATATAGGAACAGGAAGACCTCGCACAAGCTCTTGCTATAAAAGATATATCATCTGGATCCTGTTGACATCAGTGATGGAGGAATGAACAGGTTTCAGGTCCTATACAATGATTTTTACTAATCATGAAGTAGATAAAGAAACTGGGCTTTTAAGTCCAGAATCTACTAATTACTACTAATACTATCGATAAAGACATTATGGAGTCTAAGTAATGGCATTATGTGTTTTGAAAATTGTTACTTCTGCTCAGGGCCAGGATGAGTTTTCATGCAACTTGCGAGTTGTTTTGCAAGTTGAACAGCAAATCTGATGGTGTGAACAGGCAGTAAGTTCTCAGCCTTACTAGGATCCTCTGGGATCAAAGGTATGAGGACTATATTTAAAGGCCACTCTGGCAGCCTTTACTCACTGCAAACTTGCAGCATCATTCACTCTGTGCTTGTTACCATATGCCGCAAATGATGTCTCATGTGAAGCAGAAATTGGCCATAAGGTTCACTGACACCTCACTAGAAGTTATCTTCAGGCCATCCAGAAAAGAGCGGGGGGATGTACTCAATGAGGTAGTAGTGCAGGTAAGTGACCATGACCCATACAGAATAATCCAGATCTAGTGCATGATTAGCTTGGGGGTAGAGTCACAGTAAAGCAAAATTGTATTCTGGAAAATGAACGTCAATGAGTAAATGGAAAAAAAGAGAATAAACTTAAGACTACATCAATTGTTAAGACTAGAATTTACAAAGATAACAAGGACACAAAAATAAAAGCACTGTAAATAAATGTATGTTGCATTCATGATAAAGTAAATTAATTGATAATTCACACACTGAGGTAAGCATATTATTTGAAAGCCATTACCAAGATATGACTGCATGATGACAGCGATTGGGTCCTGAATTTTGAGAAGTACATGACATTCAAGAAAGACAGGGAGTAGGGAAAGTAGGAGTGAGAACGCTGTTAATCAAGGATGGCACTGGTGTTTGAAATAATCTTGGCTCAGTA